AAAACAATGTCCGTCCGACTGTGGAGGGAGTACTTATCATACTTTGAACAACCCGGTATTAATTAATGATAACGTTTTTTGATCTGTTTGTATGACATTTGGGTAAAGGAAATTCGGTGCTTGTCCTCAAGTTATATGATACATTACGTAATGAAGGGAGTAAATCATATAATCTGTGATTGGAATTTTTAAATTTTTGAAAGTATTCCCTGCGCAATCGGGTCTGTCCTCCAACAGCGGAATACTTAGAATCAAACGTGCGCAGCCTCATCATAATTACACCATGGCAGAATTATCTGAAATGCTATTTCTGTATGTGTTGAACTGATGTAATTTGGGTCAGATTCGTAGCCCACACTGGCGCAGGATATTCAACTGCTGGCCGTAAAATACTACAATAAAAATGAACTAATTCAGTAACACCAAGACTGGCCTTACGCATTTGTCTCAGGAAATAAATTCTAGAGTCATAGGTGTATGCAAGGGGGGTCGGGAAAGTCGTACCCCCCCCCCCCCCCATTTTCAAAGGTCCACATTTTTCCAGACATTTTTCTCTAGGGCCGTAATGAGTAATCAATCTATAATTCTATTTTTCTTCCCAGTCATAATTTAACGCACGTTGGCACTATAAGATTATAAAGATGGACGGAAATGATAGGCCTGCGCCTACATTGTCGGAAATTCCGGGGGATTTTCCACCTTAAATCCACCAGGGCATGATCGCTCTGTGTGTCTTGGAAGAAAAACTTGGATTGTGACCCATGATGTCTGCACGGTCTGATTTTACTTAGAACTTGAAATGGGCTCAACAACTTACCTGCAAAAAAAGACCCTTTATTTTATTTTTGCGGGATTTTGCTGTAGTCCCACACACGCTCTTTTTACTCGTGTGGACATCAGCCGGGTCAACCCCCTCCCCACTCGTCTACAAATTTTTGCGTCTCGTGTTGATTAATTCATATTCATCTGCAGAAGTACATAGTCTAGTAGATTTTTATTATAGACTGTGGATGTAATGACATTTTAGTATTTTTTTTTCTCTCTTAACACAAATTAACTAACGAAGACACGATCAGCGTCTTGAGACGGAAGAACAAATACCCAACTAAAATATAGGCCTACAAGTAACGACTGGGATTTTATGTAGATCATATCAACGGATGTTTAAAATAAGCCTATAAGAAAGTTGTTCTAAAAAATGTCGGTGTACAGAATAATATGAATATTAGGCTTACAATGTATGTGAAAACAAAACAGGGCTCTTCTCATTGCCATAATGTACCGGTAATGTTCAAATTAAAGAAAAAAGAGAATAATTAACAAAGTAATAAAGTAAAAAATACATGACAAACAAAAAATCATGCAGAGGATTATGAAGTAAAAGAAAACATGGACACCAACTTAACGTCAGTGAGGCTCCAACCAGGGCTGCAATGGGTAGTATCGAGGATGATGTGGAGAGTTCTACCCATCGCATAGAACCCGGCGAAGCTCAGTGCATTTCAGTTCATCTTGTGCAATTTCATAGGTTGAGGGTGAAAATGGTTTATACATATCACGGTAATGTTGCATAACTTGCTGCCGCCAGTTTGAAAAACTTTTGAAAACGCAAACATTTAATTACCAGATTATTAATATTTCAAATAATGTCAATTACGTCATTTTTTAATATGCACATCTTTGATATGGTGTTTACTTGGAAAACGTTTGAAGAAGATCCAAGCATGGAAATGAAAGTGGCAGACAGAAAAACCATGTGCAAAAACATAGGGAAAGGCGATTTGAAGAGAAAACAAAACAAATCAGAACAAAAACATGGCTTTTCCACGGGTGCGCGGGAGAGCCATTAATTATAATTATATGATAGATCGAAATTCTATAACAAAAATTATAAAACTTCTAGCTCTTTTATTCAGCTACAAGGAATAACAATAAATAACATGCAATGACGCAATGAGCAAGTTTACCGTGAGTTCGTTTGAATAAATGAAAAAATTGGTCAAAGCTAAATTATACCGTACCGTATTTCACAAGTCCTTAAAATAGACGATTTTATTCAGCAACAGATGCTATATTTATTGACCAATGGCAATCGTTGTAATAGATGAGTACACATGACTGACTTTATTTCAGGAGG